TATAACATAGGTCCGCCCCTGGTACATTCCCTTGACAGCCCAACGGTTATTTTCAGTTGCCACTACTGCGCCGGCCAGTGTTTTAAATAGCCGTAGCGGTAGTGGTAGCGATCATCTCGGTAGCAGTCAGTCTGCAGCGGCCTGCAGCCGCCTGTAACGGTTGCATGCAGCGGCGTGTAATAGTTTTAAATGCGCAAAATATATATTTAATGGATGTTAAATTTAATAGATACATTATATTATGAATATTTTTAACATTAACAACTAATCAACCAATAAGAATATTTGTTTGAACACTTATAGCTTTAATCGAAACATTATGAATATTTGTTTGAACACTCTTAAGAAGACATTTAAATGTACTAGTACGGTCCCAAATAATTTTGTCATTTCATAAAATTTGAATCATGATTTTTATTAATATAACACTATAAAAGTTATAAATTTTAGACTTTTTTGAATGTACTTTAAACAAACAACATTATTTATTTCGATCACTTGTATATTATAAATAATTTTCAATAAAAAGATACACTCCTCTGTCCAGAAATATATTACTTATATGAAAAATTGTTGTCTGGCCTTTCACAATCAAAAATTAAAAAGTAGACCATGCATTGCAACTTGCATAATCCATAATAATACCACTTTCATTCCAAATTTTTTTGTTAAGTCAACATTTTTTTCATCAACCAATATTAAATTTAAATCATACTTGTTAATAATTAATTCGGTTTTAATAATTCTAATTTACATTTTTATTAATATTTGCTACCATAATGTATGTGGATACATGTACATTTAATTTAGAGTTTCACTCCATGCATCACCACTAATGTATTTTTTCACATCATTCACACAACATTTACACATTTACACATCAACCAGTTCATGATGTACTGCCGGAAGTGCCGGTAGCGGGCTGTAGCGGGCGGCATATCGGATTTTTCCCGTGATTCGGAAATCACACCGCTATAGCGGGCCGTAGCGGTAGCGGTGCCTACCGCGACTGCTATGTAGCGGCCGCTATAGCGATAACGGTCCGCTATTTCAAACACTGGCGCCGGCTAGAACGTCTTCATGTTGTCACAAATGTAGAGGCCCGGTATCGTACATTTTTTAGAATGTATCATGATATCATGAGAAAAAAAAAATTAAAGAATAAGAAAATATAGTAACAAGCTAAGAACGAAAAGAAGAAGCAGAATGAAGACGTATGGTGCAGCCGTGCAGGCCTGTGGAAGATGGACGGGCAAGAAAGAAAGAGAAAGAAAAGTAAAGGGAAAAAAAGGAAGAATGAAAAAGAGTATTAAAAACCGGCTAAAACCGGTGGTCATCAGGTAAATTGACTCATGTGATTCCTTTTAAAGAGTATATGTGCTTATGTGATGTTTTTTTAGTACATGGGTCTAGGTGATGTTTTCACAATAGTACAAGGGTGTATTTGACCCTTTTTCCTATTACTAATAACAAAAGTTCTTCTTGTACACTTTTTTGTACACATTATATATCTTACACACGGTCAGCAATTATTTTTGTCTCTAAATAGCATGTTCACAGACACACCATGTTTTGTCTATGAACAGACTATTCACAGACAAAAAATTAGCTGCTTACGGGCATGTGTAAAATGGTGTAAAAAAATTGTGTACAAATAGGAAAAAAAATGACTAGGTCATTTAAAAAGAAAATGTCTTTATTGCCCTGATCGTTATTGAGCCTCCTGCCATGTTTTTGTGGCAACTGGATGCAATCGGCGGGTAAGGAGAGAAAAATCACCTTATCATTTCAATGTTTGCTTAATACGCCAAGAAGGAGTAACTGACGGGAAGTCCGAGGTATAATTTACGCTATAAGAGATAGATTGAGTAAGAGAAAATGAGTTTTTGTTTTTAGAATTTTAGTTACACAAAATGGTATTTTTCATCATTTGCAATGGAGCCAAAGACTCACTATTGTTTACTTGGGAATATTATGGAATAAAGCAAAATGACTCACTTAACTTTCTAAGCTTCTTTGTTATGAAGCAGTGTCGTGCCATGCAATTTTCAGCGCGCTTTTCATTATGGGTCATTCAGAAACAATCTCTTTGTGCTTTAGTACAGGGGTAAGACTGCGTACATCCAACCCCCACCCCACTGTAGGTCAAAGCCTTTGTGGCACTGGGGTGATGATGATGAGTGTTAGAAAAATGATATTGAAAATGCGAGTTTAACCAGATAAAAATCCCGAGTTTAAATCAAATCACCAGACAAACCGACAAATGCAAGAAAAAGAAAATAATGATAATAATTAGAATAAATTAAAACCAAAAAAGAGAAAGGATAAGAAGACTTATTGCAGGATCGCCCGTTAAAACGGACTGGCCTTGAAGAAAGATAGCCCCCGTATCCCGATAGCTATTCGGACGGGTCTGACTAGCTCGCTCCCAGGATAATCCTACCACGTTTCAGACTCGTAGCTACCTTGACTGAAACCTTCGACCGATGCCAAATTTGCCAAGAGATAGAGTACGTTGACTTTAAACAACTATGAAAGTATAATATACGGATTATACGTACTCCTTTTGGAAGGAAAAGATAATAGAATAAGAGACCCACTCAAATCAGAATTGATTTGATTATATATACGTATGATTTAAAGGAGAATGCTAGAGAATGATGTTTTCTATTCTTTTGTACGTGAAAGCACCACCTAAGAAACATGCAGGGATCGATCTTTATATTGCGTATAATTGAATCAGGAAAATAGAGGGATAACAGTTCAACGGAAATCAGATATAACTATGCATTTAAGCACAGGATAGTGAACGGCTAAACTGGTCCATGTTTTTAGGATCCCATCAATAGCTACTTAACTAAGTGTGATCATTTTGAATTTAAAAAAATCAATCTCACAGCCCTGTTAGCTATCATATTGTCCAATATATTAGAGAGTCTCTAAAGTTATGACGCTAATTTCATCACTTATAATCTGTCCAATCAGTCGCACTTATAAGTGAAATATTAATATGTCATATCTCTTTATATGATACTTGAACAATGTTCCTTATCACATAGTGATTATAAATAATCACATGAGACTTTTTATCCTCTAAAGTGGAAAAATTGTTTTAATACATCACTTTACAATCTTTACAACTATGGATTCTAATTGTAATTTAAATCCAAATATGTAAGTTGTTCTTTGATGTATTATCAGTCACATCTCCATATTTTTTTACAATTATATCTTGGGATACAAAATCGTATCCCTCAAAATAATATTTATATCATCATATTTCCAAGAATGAGTTACAGACAATAATGGTAGTTGAGCATATATAATTAGGATGGATATATATAGTGTGGGATGATGTAGTTACTTGTATGAATGTTATTGTAACTTATAAGTTATTGATAATTGTAACTCATGTATCGGTGGGAAGGTATGTGTGGTATGTTGTAGTTACCATGTATAAGTTACTATAAACTGTAAATAGTTCTTCGAAAATATGATTTGGAGTTCACTGCGGCTAAAGATTAAAAGGTTGAAGCCATGGAAGAGACTAGAGGGAATAAATGTAGCCACCAGCATACTCATCGCCAATGTTCTAAAAGGCGCTAGGCGGTAGTCGGGCGCTAGGCCAGTGCCTAGCGCCTAGGCGGCTAGGCGGACGCCTAGTCGGGGACTAGTCGGAGACATAGAAATTAAATTTTTATCTATATTTTTGCATAAATATGATAAGTAATATTGTATTTTTGTTTGTATAAAATACATATACATATACATTAACAAACATGAAAGATATAATTCTCACATTTAATCATACGCAATATATGATAACTAATCACTTAACTTCATTATGGTATAAATATAATTAATGATACAATTTAGGTATATATACAAACATATATAGTTTTATCTTAATCTAAAACTTCATTTCTCTATATTCATGGCTAAACTTAAAGTACGTATATTGCTTAGAAAATTAAAATTTAAAAGTAAAGTAATGTTTGACGAATTTAGACGGTCTAGGTGGCTAATTACGCGCTCTAGGCGGGTAACTAGGCGCCATAGGTAGTCGACTAATTCACCTAGACGGCAAACCAATTAGTCGGAGCGCCTAGACGAAAATCGGGGCGGCCGACCACTGCCTAGGCGGGGACTAGTCGGGCGCCTAGAATGATTTTTAGAACGGAGCTCATCGCCAATGAGCAATGACCAAAACACAAGATTTAGAGTGAGTTCTGTCTTTCTATTTGGAAAAAATTTGAATGGACTAGAGAGAGTGAAAATTAGGAATCAAATAGAGCGAGAGTTCTTCTGGTTGGGGTAGGTAGCTGGGAAACGTACGCAGAGAAAACAGAAGAACTAGCAGCTGATCTACCGCTCACAAGGCTAAAAGAGGTATTCAAATATTGAGTGTTGAAACAAGGGATGGCCCCGGGCCGGTTCGGGCCCAGTTCGGGCCTAGGCCCGGCCGGGCCTCGGGTCTGTTTTGTTGGGCCCGAGCCCGAACCGGTGGCCACCGGTTCCGGGTCCGGTTCCGGGCCGGGCCGGGCCGGGCCACCCGGTTAGTTTATTTTTTTTTCTTTTCTTCCCCCCCCCCCCCCACCCCCCACCCCCCCAAACCGGTCCTAAACATCAAGCCCAACTCAATAAAGCCCAAAAAATTGAAAAAAAGGAAAAAAAAAAAAAAAAAAAAAAAAAAAAAAAAAGAAGTTTTTGACCCGGCCCGACCCGGCCAGGCCGGTTCGCCAAATACAAGGCCCGGACCCGCCCCCCCACCGGGCCTAGGCCCGACCCGGACCCGGAGCCGAGAACCGGGCCGGTTCCGGGCCCGCTCAGTGGCGGGCCGGGCGACCCGAACCGGGTCCATGACTAGTTGAAACATGTCTTATGCTAAAAATATTGAAATGAATACTAAGGTACGGTGGATCGATCCCGGTTCCAATCCGGCTAGGAGAAATGGTATAATATTAAAATGGTTTATGTAGTTAAGGAAAATAACACAATAGCTTTATAATTTATTATTCTTGATTAGAAGGATATGAAACAAATGGAAAAGTATCCTAAAGAAATAGTGAAATACAACAAAGTATTTGAAATGATACAACATTATTGATATTTCGAAATGTAAAAACTATTTTAATTAGCTATAGGACAACATTGCCAGTTTGCAATAAATCAATATAAAAGAGATACCTACCTTGTACGTACTTAATTAGTTTTTTTTTTGGAATGTTTAGTTAATTACAAGGATATGACATGGAAAAAACATTCCACAATGTTTATGATTAGATTTAGCTGCGCGAGGAACAAATGAAATCCTGGAGAAGTGGAGAATACTGAAATCAGCAAGGAAAATGATCCCTCTTCATTCTAAGAGCACTCTTATCTTTTTCCATACCTTGAGGCTCATATATATCATATAATGGAAAGTTGAACCGAACTATTGGGATAGGAAACGTTTCTATGGTTCAAAACTATAGGAAAATGATCCCTCTCAATTCCAATGTGCATTCAACAGAACATCTTGCCAATTCTGTTGGGATATTATTCAAGAGGATGCCGTTTCTATGGTGTAACACGTACTTCTTCACAGGGGTTATATTTTCTGCAGTTACTAAATGAATAAGTACAAGTAAAAAGCTTGATGTTTAAAACAAGATATAACAGTTCAAGTAATTACCTGAAAATCATGACTTCATAGGTACAACATACATAGAGAACTTATGTTCAGACACTCCCAACAGCAAGTTGAGCGAGCATGCTCTCCTAAGGAGTACAGATAACATTCCTTTATTACAATACATAACATCACACGAAGAAGGCACTCAACCAGAATCTACTTGCACAAGTAAAACAACACATCTATTGACTTGTATGTGTTTTCTATATGAATTTCAGACTTGGATTGTATATTCTGGCATACACACCATCAGACGGAAAGACCTTAAAATCCTTCCACTCTTGAGTTATATCACTATTGTTTTCCTTGTAAACTTGAGCGTACCCCATAGAATTTGAAATAAGTTCAACACACTTCCTTTTCTGCAGTTACTAAATGAATAAGTACAAGTAAAAAGGTTGATGTTTAAATCAAGATAACACTTAAAGTAATTATCTGAAAACCATGACTTCATAGGTACAACATACATAGAGAAGTAATGTTCAGACACTCCCATCAGCAAGTTGAACGAGCATGCACTCCTAAGAAGTACAGATAACATTCCTTTATTACAAAACATCACACGAAGAAGGCACTCAACCAGAATCTACTTGCACAAGTAAAACGACACATCTATTGACTTGTATGTGTTTTCTATATGAATTTCAGACTTGGATTGTATATTCTGGCATACACACCATCAGACGGAAAGACCTTAAAATCCTTCCACTCTTGAGTTATATCACTATTGTTTTCCTTGTAAACTTGAGCGTACCCCGTAGAATTTGAAATAAGTTCAACACACTTCCTATTTTTAGTTAAATAAATCATCTTCGGTTCTTGAGTTTCCAAATCAACCAATACTAAATACGGTACATAGTTTTCTTCATCTGGATAACCAACAACACATGGAGCAAGGTCATCCTCGGATTCCTCGGATTCCTCGGATTCTTCACTTTGATAACTGATAACACACGGATATGCTATCAAATGAAAACGTCCACCACCCTGATTCCAAATTCCAATAGGCAACCACGATTCACGCCATGTCCCACCTCCTAGTGGGCTCCGATACTCATGCCTGTCTATGCTTGAACAACATTCTACGCTCCACTGTTTATGCCAATCTACACAATCAGCGTTTTCACTCATTAACCATACCTCGATGCAATTGCTATTCTCAGGAGGACATAGACTAATCATAGCAATAGTCTCATTCATCACTGTAAATGAAATATCTTCCCATCTGGTTGGCAACCCGATCGTCCCAAACACTTCATCCTCCAAGTCAAACCATAGCAACCGCTCACAAGGTGGTTCTGAATCCAGGACCTCATGTATTTCTACCCGCCAATAGTACTTCCCCTTACAATAAAAATCTTCCTGAGAACTCACAGGCACATTTGGCAGAGCATCAATTTGCCTCCAGGTCCATGAACCATCACCATCTTGGCTGCAAACCATTACACATTCATAACTCTGTTTCTTGCCCCCGAAAGCACAATAATTAAAATACCAGAGCATGACAACCTTCCAAGCCATGCTCTTAGAAACCCCAAACCCAAAGCCTTCATACATAGTATAGCTGGCTAGTATTTCAGTGGGGGGGCTGTGAGGCACCTTAATCGAAGGCAAGGCCTTGATTTCCCTGATGAACGGGTTCCATATCAGAATGTCGAAATTCAAATCCGTCGAAATCTCACAAGAGGTGATAAGAAAATCAGGTTTACCCAGAATAAAACATAACATTCCATCGCAGCAACTTACAAATCTTGTCATTGAATTAGGGAAATCTAGGTATGTGCACCCTATATCATCAGACTCCGGTTCATTGTACAGCAGACTGAACATTTTATTAGAATAGCCAAGATGAGTAGATGGGATCTCTAGAATAGCATAATCACATTTCTCTCGATTAACTTCATAGAATCTATGCAACAATTGATGATTGTTCTTAATCAAATCATAGAAGCATTTGCACACGCACTTACAACGCATAAGAGATTTCACTGGCAGCTTCACTAAGATCTCAATTAGGAGCTCCCTCGGTAACTCGCAGTCGTCCATTCCCGGATGCAGATCAGATCGTATTTCCTATCTTTTTCGTAAGTTCAAGTAATTTATAAATGCGGTGGAAGGTAAATCTCTTGCCGACCACCAAGTAGATTGGGCCGGACCGGTAGTCAATTAATCCAATTTTAGGTTAGCACTCGCAAGTAAACATTGGGAATTTAATTTAATAGATTCTAGATTTATTAAAAGAAGTTGGACAAAATTACATGGACCGAGGTGCTCATAAAAATTAAACTTTTGAATGATTATTAGTAGGTTAACTCAGATGATTCTAATAAAAGTCCGAAAGTTGATCCAAGTGAATTAATTTGCTAAATTTATTTGTTAGGAGAATAAAACATTCAAAAAAACTTCTTCGAGGCGGTGTTCGACATGGCGGGATTAGGATGTTTTCTTTTGGACTGTTTTCAGTTCTAGGCCAGACCAGATCAGACCAGACCAGACTTAAAATGATCAGACCAGACCAGACCAGACTTAAACAGACCAGACCAGACTTGGATAGTTATAAAATACACAGAGACCAGCAAATTTCAGTCCAAAATAAAACATCTTTAATGGTTATTTTAGGAGGTTATACGAGATATATCTAAATTTTCTTCCCATTCTTGTCACAGAATGTAAAATAAACAAATTAAACATACAATTAATGTATGTTTCTAACCATTTAACAAATTAAAACTAATGTAGAACGTCCTTAGCTCGCCTGGAAAGACACATAATTCTTACATATGTAGTACTATCTCCGTCCCAAAAATTTTTGTCAAATCTCCAAAAATTTGAACCTTAATTTTGATTTGTATAATACTAGTATTTTTACTCGTGTCGTGCACGGGATGTAATTCACTTTTATATTTTACTCCGTAAGTTTTTATGGAATATACAAAAAATATTTGGCAGTATCGTTGTCTCTCCATGATATCTAAAAAGAGTGGATGACTGAATAATGATGTTGACATCACAACTTGATCTAAATTTCGTAACTCGTCATCTCGTCAAAAGACGAAACACCAACATCATCTTTTCAATCATCACGGTGAAGTTTACATTATTGTAAAAGGGTTTATAGACTCAAATGAGGATATTATGTACTCCATACATCTTTATTGAATATTGTAATTTGTGTATTTTTATTCTCTCAAGTTGTTTTTGTTTTTGTTCAAGTGTAACTGTGTAAGTTTCTTTTCGTTGTTTACTACATATAATACTTGATACATGGCAATTGGGAGTCTAGGACTTTCCCTATTTATTTTGGTGATTTACTTTTTGAGTTTATAAAAAAGTATGACCTTTAGATTTTAATAGTGGTGACGACGGTGATAGTGGGCTGCATGGCAACAGCAACAACATTAGTTTATTTTTATTAGAGCTATTGAGAATATTATGATCTTATTTTAGATAAAATAAGTGTGATAGAAAGAAGATTGCATGTTTTTTACTTTAATTTGGGAACATTTATTTTTATAACATATCTATCGGTCAAATGCTCATTAAAAATGTCAAGCAACACATTGTGAATAAAAAATAACATATCACATACTGCTCGTAGTAGATTAACAGCAATACGTTAATGACAATAAATGTATACTATTATTATATGTTTCCAAAGAGAACACATACCAAATGGTAGCTAATAATGAAAGACTCAAATTCTGTCAACATGAGTGATGGATAGTGTACCCGGGGGGTAGCTTACCCGAAGAGTTATTTCGGGGAATAACCTAGAGAGAAATCAGAGTAAGCAAGTGAGAGAGAGAGTCAAACGTATTAAATGAACTCGAGATGTTGGGATCGTTTACAAGGGGAAAGGTGGTGCTATTTATGGCAGCCATAAATGCCAAGCGCGTACATGTGTCAATCATGTGACGGTCGAGGGTCATCTCAATCGGGGTGGCACCGGCAATTGCATGTGCATCGCATTAAATGCGGTGGTTGGACGTGACACCGCATTGAATGTGGTGGTTGCGTGTCTTCAGAGGAGGAAGCTTCGTGAGGTGGTGACCCTTCGGCCCATTGGTGTATGGCCGAAGGCTTCATGTGTGGCCGAAGGCTTCATGTGTGGCCGAAGGCTCCCTGAGGCCGAAGGCTACCGCTTTTCTGTCATTTTCTCCCAATAGCTTCACATGCATAAAATTAGGAGTGTCCTGGAATATTGAGTCCTCGGCCATGGTGCCGAGGGCATCTCTATAGACATTGCGGGTTCCTTTGAGCTTGGGCTGTCATGTATGTCCAGGGGCGTTATGAAGTGCCGAGGGCCTCATGGCCGAGGGGTGACGAGAGCATCATAGCTGAGGGGGTACTGCCGTGGGTGTCGAGGGCATCATAGCCGAGGGGTACTGCCGAGGGCATCATGGCCGAGGGTTGCCGAGGGCATCATGGCCGAGGGCCTCATGGCCGAGGGGTGACGAGAGCATCATGGTCGAGGGGTACTGCCGAGGGGTGCCGAGGGCATCATGGCCGAGGGTCACTGCCGAGGGCTTCCACTAAATGTCTGGATTGCATGAGTATGTGGGTCAGGGGGTCCTGGATCATATACTTCATCAGGAGTCCCCCACTCCTTTTGTCGAGAGGTAGTCGAGGCAAAGGAGTACTTAAATATTCTAATTTTTTAAGTTTTCATTTTTTTTCATGTTCTGTTTCATGAAGGAAGAAAGCCTAAGGGGTAGTCCCCCAGTCCCCCCCCCCCCCCCACTCATGCTTCCCGAAGGTGCTTCGGGCTGGAGGAGTTGTTGTCGTGCCGAGTTCCGTAGTTTCTAGGCCTCATAATGTGATAGTGCGACTGATGTTGAGGGCCTTGACCTTTCGTACATAATGGGGAGATGCCTCGTTAAAAACCTCACTACGGGAAAACCCAGTGGGAAACAATTCTAGTGAGGGAAAAAGAGTACACCAGATGCCGATTTGAGAATGAGGGCATGGCGCCAGGGGCCAGAATAGAATGATGATGGGGGCGATGGTCGCACGAAGCATGAGGGCGACGGTCGCCATGAGATGGGAGCCCAATCTCAAGATGAAGGCATGAAGGCGTGGCGCTGAAGGCATCCATGAGATGCTGACTTCAGCATGACGGCTGGCCTGAAATGATGAAGGTGATGGTCACCATCCAGGGAGGGATGGGAACCCCAATCGCATGAGGGAACGATGCTAAAAGCATGCCTGAGCATGAAGGCCACACACTAAGCATGAAGGCACTGGTATGAAGTCCAGGCGCTGAAGATAAGAGCGCTGGCGTGAGGGCCACACGCTGGTCATGAGGGTGCTGATGTGAGGGCCACGTGCTGGACATGAGGGCGCTGGCACATAGACCACATGCTGAGGGCCAAGTCCCTGTCATGAGGGCGCTGGCACATAGACCACATGCTGAGGGCCAAGTCCCTGTCATGAGGGACAGGGGATTGTCATGAGGGCGCCGGTCCGGAAATCCACGCAACGGTCCTCATCCATGAAGTGTGGGGATGAGGCCGTTCTTGAGACAGATGATCACGTTGAGACCAAGGGGTCTGCCGTATCATCATATAAATGATCACGTTGAAACCAAGGGGTCTTCCGTGATGCAAGGACGTCGACACTGAGGGCCCGATCCTGAAATCCATGCAACAGTTCTCATCCATGAAGTGAGGGGATGAGGTCAGTCTTGAGACAGATGATCACGTTGAGACCAAGGGGTCTACCGTGTCATCATATAAATGATCACGTTGAGACCGACGGGTCTGCCGCGATGCAAGGACGTCGACACTGGGGCCGGTCCGGAAATCCACACAACGGTCCTTATCCATGAAATGAGAGGATGGGGACGGTCTTTAGAGTATGATGATTACGTTGAGACCCAGGGGTCTGGCGTGTCATCATATAAATGATCACGTTGAGAGCGAGGGGTCTGCCGTGATGCAAGGACGTCGGCACTGAGGGGCCGGTCCGGAAATCCACGCAACGGTCCTCATCCATGAAGTGAGAGGATGAGGCCGGTCTTGAGACAGATGATCACGTTGAGGCCAAGGGGTCTCCCGTGTCATCATATAAATGATCACGTTGAGACCGAGGGGTCTGCCGTGATGCAAGGACGTCGGCACTAGGGGGCCGGTCCTGAAATCCACGCAACGATCCTCATCCATGAAGTGAGGGGATTTGGCCGGTCTTGAGACAGATGATCACGTTGAGACCAAGGGGTCTGGGTAGGCATGGACCCGGCCCGGCCCGGTTCTCGGGGGAGGGTCCGGGTCGGGCCTAGGCTTGGTGGGGGGGGGCGGGTCCGGGCTCGGGCCTTGTATTTGGCGAACCGGCCCGGCCGAGTCGGGCCCGGGTTTGGGCCTAAATGAATTTTTTTTCATTTCTTGGGATACACCCGGGTTGGGTTTGATGGTTAGGAGGGGTTTGGGGGTTTTGGGGGGGTGGGGGTAAGGGGGGGGGGGGGTTAGGAAAGCAAAAAAAAAATTAACCAAATCGGAGGCCCGGCCCAGACCCGGACCGGACCCGGTGGCTACCCGGGCCGGTCCCGGGCCTTCCTTTCCAAATAAAAAAGCCCGGCCGGGCCCGGCCCGGGTCCATGACTAGGTCTGGGGCATGTTTTTTACTTTAATTTGGGAACATTTATTGTTATAACATATCTATCGATTAAATGCTCATTAAAAATGTCAAGCAACACATTGTGAATAAAAAATAACATATCACATACTGCTCATAGTAGATTAACAGCAATACGTTAATGACAATAAATGTATACTATTATTATATGTTTCCAAAGAGAACACATACCAAATGGTAGCTAATAATGAAAGACTCAAATTCTGTGAACATGAGCATGTCAATTTTGTAACCACAATAAAAGCACTTATTCTAATACCTCATCGAGAAAATAGAAAATAATCACAATTTTCGCGCGCTAAAATAAGCAGTGAATAATATTGGATTAAAATTACATTTTTGCTAAAACAAACTAATAATGGGTAAATTATGATCTAGTCTGTTTTATTATGATTTGATCTGAACTGACCTGATATCGTAGATGATTGGTCTATAAATATTTCAAATATTTACATAATTACAGTATACTCCGTATAACATTTAGAAAACTTATCTATATAGTATACTCCGTGTAATATTTAGGAA